TGGCAAACGTGTCATTATTTTTAAATATATATTCTACACTATGCGCTCATGAGCTTTTACATGAAGAAGTACCAATGGTCATGATTATTATTGTACAATGATAATTGTACAATGATGATTATCACAATTATCATATAATAGAATAAACATTATTATGCACAATTATGGTTGAATACATTTCCAGATCTTTATTAATGAAGAAAAACACTTGTTAGTTTAAAATGTATTTAAATGCTCCTCATCTCTATCATTATCAACCATGATTTATCCACTGCTGAATGAAGGCCTCCCCATCTTATTGGTCCTGCCAGACCACACTCCATCTCACTCTTGCTATTGTGAATCAAAATAACCCCAAAATACACTCCTATGTACAAAATTACTCTGAATACTGTACTGTTTACAGCAAGGCCGTAGCCATGGAGTCAACATTGGGGGGAACCAAATCTTCCTGGGTGTCTGGAGGTCCCAACCTAGAAAAATATCTAAATTTGAAAACTAATTTCCTGCCTAAAATATTAAAAAAATTCACTAACACATGGGATGGACTTTTCATTTATTTTTCACAATAATGTATAATAGTGTATTGTATTACATTGATCTGTTTTTACTTTTTTACATTTTCTTGTTTCATTGTATGTAATGGCAGAGATTAGAGATTAATAAAGTACAACCATAACCACAATCATATAAACATAAATCTATGCATTGATTTATATTAAGACAAGTCCAGATATTGTGGCCAAAGTTTAGAAAATTGTTATTTTTATTTACATAGCATAGCAATTATTTTTATAGTAATATATTGGAGGGGGGGGGGACATTTTGAGCATATTTGAATATTTGGGGGATGTCCCCCCCCCCCCAATACACAGGATTGTGTGATTGGATCATTTTACTTTCTGTGTAAATATGCATAATTTCCGCGATTAAATATTGCACATTTCAACAAATGAAAACAAGTCAAAGGACGTACTCCACATTCGCTCATGCATTCAACATTGTGCAAATAATGTGAATGAAGTTTAACACGTAGCAGGCTTTCGCGACCAATATCAACCATAATAGAGGTTTTTGGGTTAGATCACGTAAATATATAAATTTGTCGTTAAAACCTGCCACCACCCGACACAGCCAACTAGTAAGAGTTGTCACGTAAACAGAACGTGGCCAATTGGTTACTAGTACAGCACACCGGTGTGTTGGAGAGCCAAGCCACAACATTTACAATCTGAGTACGACGTTTCGCCAGTAATTACAACTAGCTTCATCAGGCGACAGACAGATTTATGGAGAAGTCTGTTTCGTTCCTAATATAGAGGCGTAGATGTGGTGACCACTCTTCTGAACACCAAAACCAAATCAAAGAAGAGCATTGAAACTGCCCAAGTAATTAAAACGATCAAAATGCCGTACATTGCGGGAGTAACTGATAAACTCGCCAGACGTTTGGAAAAACAAAACATCCGAGTCAGATTTGGCACCGTACATAAAATACAGAAATTAATATCTGGTACAAAAGATGCATTACCGAAGCTATCAACAGAAGGTGTGTACAGGATTAACTGCACGAGTGGTAAATCTTATTATGTTGGGCAAACAGGACGAATGATCAGCACGAGACTAAAAAGAACATCAGAGAAATATGAAATACTCCCAAATACAACTGTCAGCAGTAGCAGAACACACGTGCCAACAAGGACACTCAATTTATTTTGATAATGTTGAAGTTTTGAGCAAAACTAGCTAGTACTGGCAACGACTAATTATAGAATCTATTTAAATTGAAAGAAATCCAAATAACTTTAACCGTTCGGATAGCTACCGCCTTAGTGCTGCGTGGAAACGAATTATCAAATAAAACATTATTTAAATGCATGCCTACAAAGGGCAGCATACTTCAATAATGTAAGGATATTTTATTAAACACAATAGACAGGAAGGACAAGTTCAAAGGGCTCGCATCATGCACATGTATAATGTACGTTGCCTCAGTAATTTCTCCCCCACATTGTGCAAGAGCGCAGAAGGGTCGTCAATACATCTACGCCTTTAAATTAGGACTTCTCCACAAATCTGGCTGTCGCCTGATGAAGCTAGTTGTAATTACTGGCAAAACGTCGTACTCAGATTGTAAATGTTGTGGCTTGGCTCTCCAACACACCGGTGTGCTGTACTAGTGACGAATTGGCCACGTTCTGTTTACGTGACAACCCTTACTAGTTGGCTGTGTCGGGTTGTGGCGGGTTTTAACGACACATTTATATATTTACGCGATCTACTCCAAAAACCTCTATTATGAATGTAAATGAAGTTATACTTGCTAATACCATTGTCATTGCATTTTGAGATGTCCATCGATAGAATCTACATAAATCCACATTACAAAGTGGCTTGAGAAGTATCAGCTTATATGTACATTGTCATTTGTGATTTTATTTCTGACAGATTTTATATTGGGGGAAAAGCACAAGTTTAATGATAAAGTATGTGTAATTATTCCGACGTGTTGTGCTATCTCATTATTTCACAAATTGCACTGCTTTCATATTTGGAGTTGTTAGGTTTTAATTGGTGTCATCTGCACAGGCCATCAAACTATTCACTTGAGAATATCATAACGTATATAATAGGCAGGACGTGTCCCATGATTTGCCAGAGCTGAGGCAGGATATTTGAAGTATCGTAAAGTGGGTGGGTACGTTTATCTAAACACTCTAAGGTAAGTCCATCTACCTCGTCAGTACATTTACATGTTTCACATTTGCACGGATTAACCTTTACTAGATAAATAATGATCACTACGTCAAAATGTTTTTCAGTGCTTATAGAATCAGTTTATGTTGAAAGGTTCAAACACTAAATTGTTACAATAAAAATCCCCCATCATCATCCACGGTCAATCGACTGCTCTGTGGAGGCCTCTTCAAGCCATTCCACCACTCGCAATCCCACAATGCAACAAACCATCCAGGATGCCCTGTTTGACCTATTTCATTCATTGGTTGCAACTCCATTATTATTCTTGTTAGTATTCTACTGATTTGCACACAATAGATCACTGCATCATCCTTGAGCTTCTCCATGGCCTAAGCATCTCCAAAGACGATGGAGGTATCTCTGGCACACCTCTCTCTGAGCTGCTCCAATCTTTCGAACCACTCCTCCTACGTTTTAATTTCACGAACTGTCTCTTGTCTTCCTCTCGGAACTCCTCTGCTATGCTGTCCGACGAGGCTCCACTCTCGGCCCCCGATCTACTCAATATATCTCCTCCCTCTTGGCAAATCATCTCCAGTTTTAATGTCCACTATGAGTTATATGTTGATGACACCCAACACTGCATCTCCACTGTCTCTATGAACCAAGCTTCACTGCCTACTCTATCATTTTGCCTGGGCATGGTCTCATCTTAGATTGGTTCTAACTACTACAGGATAAATGCTGTCAAAATGGAAGTCCTCCTTTACTTCATAATAACACATTAACCTCCAATAACGTCTCCAAATAGTATGCAACACGTTGGAGTTGTCACTCATCCGAGGTTCTCGTTTTCTTCCCACATCTTAGCTCTGTAGAACTCACTCCTACATGAGGGTGACATCTCCTGTAACTGCCACCGCCTTATCCCAACTACAAATGTGACCCTCACCCATACCTTCATCGCATTTTGAATAAAACATTCGGCTGCCAGATTCCTCACCCGGACCAGTAAAAATGGCAACACCACCCCCATACCCAAATCCCTCTGATGGCTCTCATTCCAATGCCAGATCAATTTCAAGATCCTTCATGGACTCGCCTCTGCCCGACTCTCCCCTCTCATCTCACTGTATCATCCTCCGTGCATTCTCGGACGTTTCTCGTCTCGTCTCACGCTACTCCCCTCCACGCACTCTTCGCTCCAAAAAACACGATTTTCTGCTGAAATCTCTAATGAATGACCTTCACTCAGTGAATGACCTTCACTCAGTGGAAGGTCACTCATTCTCCTCTGCTGCCCACAGTCTAGAATTCCCTTCCCCCATCCATCGGTGCTGTTGACTCCCTGCCCATGTCAAGCCCAGAACCTTGCTCTTCTCCTCCATGACTGACTGCCTCTATCTAAAAAGCAGTCTACAATTCTAAAAAAAATGCAGAATCATTTAGCCGCAATGTAAATCAAATTTGTATTGTTGTCAAAAATGTATTGGTCTTACGAATTTATGCTGATCACATTCACCCAAAAAAAATAACAAATTTCGTTATTGTTTAGAGATTATATATTTGCACGTACATATTTGGCAATAATTAATGTGTTGTTGGAGTGCATTTCTCATTGTTTTCCGACTTAACAAAATAATACCAATGATTACGTTATAGAAATGTTTGTATACGTGTTATTACATGTTTGCTTTGTGTTAACTGACACTGGATGCAATTGCAAACCAGGTGTTCGATCTTTCGAATGTATGTAAGTAAAATATCTTAACTAAAAAAATGCAATGCAAGCTGATACAGAGCCAATATAGATTCTCCAATAAATCAGTAAATAACGTGATAACCTTTAAAGATTAGTTATATCACAGTGCCTGCGTTTATAAAAAGTGAATGTTTATATGTGTGACAGGATGCAGCCTCAATCAATACACTTTTAGTAATCAGCAGACAAACCGATCCGTGAGAAATTGATCAAAGTTCCAGAAAGCTGCACCCTGCAATCACCGACCAGGCAGCTCTGTGGCAGAGTGAACAGCTCGCCATTGGAAGGTGAGGAGCTCACATCTTGGTTGGGGTTAGACTCAGTCCGTCATCCCTCTGAAGTTGAGGAAACGAGTACAACTTTGTTGGGAAGTCATCAGTGGTTGTCCTATGAATATATTAGCCCCTGCCATAGGAATGTGGAGTTTCTAGAGCTGGTGCGAACGACATCACCGACCTCGACCTGCCGTTTCGAGAACATCTTACTCAGAATTATCAAACAATTATTTCTCTTCACCCAGAATCAAGGCAAGGATATCAACCTCATCACTAGCATCACTGTCATCGGACAGATTCAAATACAGATTATCGGAATGAAATGGTAAGAGACAATAAGATTATGTAAGGAGCCTATAAGTAAAATATGAAAGTCTATGTACTCACATGGTGAAGTAACTACTAATGAACACACTTTATTTTGTTATAAGGTATCAGAACAATTGCTCAGAATGTACCAAGGATGTATTGCATGTGATAGATTCTATAGATTCTCAACCCTAGAGAATCTACAGCAGAGGTTCCAACCTGTGTTATGGGTACTGTTAATGAATGCGGTCACATGAATTCATATCTTTTACGTAAAAAGGTAAAAACCTGGAAGTTTGTGGATAATAATGCAAATGTTGTTAATATGTTTCATTTTGCGTTTCAGATTTTTTTGTATACATTGAAGATGAATATATGGCTTACAAAACATATGTAACATTGAGCGGGTACAGTGATAGACAGTTGAACGTGGAGCCATAGCAAATGCAATTAAATACCCGAATTGTTATTTTTTATTTTATTTTAATTGTCAGCAGTTGAAATTAATTCATTATATTGCCCAGTAAAATTTAACACTACAATACTTTAGTGCATTACGTGATACAACACCAAGTCAATTTGTTAGTTGCAGAAAAAGTGTAGACTTTGTTAATAATTCTGAAATGAACAGCACATTGATCAAATGTATCATCACGTATTACAATTTAAATTGTACTACACCACATTTATCCTATACACACGGTTTAGTGGTGCAAGGAGTTTTATTATTTTTTATTATTTCAACAATATTAGGCAATATGCTTGTCATCGCTTCTATAATGTATTTTAAGCAATTGCAGAGCCACACCAACAGTCTAACGTTATCGTTGGCCGCAGCAGACCTGCTGGTCGGCTTGGTTGTCATGCCCTTTAGCATGATGCGCACAGTGCATAGCTGCTGGTTTTATGGGGCATTATTCTGCAAGCTACATTGCTCATTGGATTACATTTTCTCCACCGTATCCATCCTCCACCTCAGCTGCGTAGCGTTTGATCGTTACATTGCAATATGCGACCCACTGCATTACACTTCAAGAGTAACCAACAATACCGTGGCGTTCATGTTAATTATTTGCTGGACTTGTCCATTGGTATACTTTGCTCCGTTCTTATTGGGCTGGAACATCATTGGCATAGAGGAAATGGTACAGAGTCGCATCTGTGCAGATACCTGTGCCATCGTCAAGAATGTATGGTTTGCCTATGTGGACACATGCTGCGCGTTTATAACTCCAATGGCAATAATGATAACGACGTATGCCAAGATCTATCGGGTGGCACGCAGACAGGCACGGCAAGTCAGCGCTGCCAGTGTCGCCCTGCAGTTGAACGGGCACGAGAGGCAGCACCAGTGGGCCCTCATGAAGCGGGAGCACAACGCCACCAAGACCCTGGGTATCATCATGGGCGGCTTTCTGTTTTTTTGGTTACCAAATTTCGTAGCGAGTTTAATTGATCCAGTTAATGATTTTCAGACAGATCCTCTGGTTTGGAATATTGTAGTGTGGCTTGGCTACATTAATTCTACGATAAACCCGCTTTTGTATGCGTCATTTAATCGCCCGTTCAGAAAAGCTTTTAAAATCATGTTTAGCTTGGAAATTACACATTTAAGTACAAGAAACAAAGATTTAGACTGACATTGTGTTAAATATTGCTACTTCATGTGAACGAGGTTCCGTTGTGTTTGTACACATTTAAGTCGAATATAATCTGTCAACCCGACTTTAGTCTCATCCATGCTGTGTACGATCACCACACTGCAACACACAACACTGCTGCTTCTGCGTCTCGTCATATATATCTATCCACTTTGCAATTTCCTTCCATTGCCTCTTTTCCCAAGCTCTTATAAACTCGCATAATTCAAGAAACATGTCAACTGTCATCTATTATAACTTTGATAGTGATGTGTGTTGCTGGTCGCTTGACGCTCGGGGCCTGTTCTCAGCAACGGTGTTAAAAATATATTTTAAATTGGTCTTTGAGAAGAGATGCTGGATGGTCCTCATCGAGGTCACACAATTATGCGTTCCTTAAATGTTTATAAATGTCAAATAAATGTGAACATTTTACTGTTTTCAACGGAATTCACAAATTCTTCGCACACGAAGTCAAAGCTCATGATTTTAAAATGGTAAAGCATAAATACTCCTGCTTCCCATAGTTGTCCCTCCACATAAAAATAAAACATCCTATCCGCTATAAGACCCTCTGGGAGTGCATCATTTCAACAGGATTAGTTTAACACAAGCATACTCTAAAGATGAGTTTTGACATTGTCATGAATAAAGTCAGGCTTGCTTGAACTTGTATACGGGTCAAACATTTGTTGTGACATCACGCACGTCGGTCACGGTGACGTGGTGAAAGCAGTCAAGATTAAGGGCCACAGAGGCCTGAATAAGTATGTGAACATGAGTATGAGCGAAGGGTAACACTACTGTGCTGTATATGAATGTCGGTACGGACACGGATTGCATCGGCCACAAGTCGCATTGGAATGGGAGGATCGCGAAAGGCAGTCGGACCAACTGGGTGAGTCACGGCGATCTTAAACGGAGATCCCAAGGCTGAGGTCTTAGAGATCTCCTGCTGGTGTTTGTGTGTTAATCACGCCCCTTCTCAAATGAAGATCCCATAACAATATTAGAGGCTGCAGTGCAGTACACAAGACCTATAAGGTAACACGAGTTCACCGATCGGCTGGCCTGATGATATTGAGAGGGGGTTTTGTTTCACGCCACTCACACCAAGATAACTCAATCATAATGCATTTCCTATGCCAATATCGCCCTCGATAAAGTAGGCGGACTCAATGTTTGTCTTATAGAGATTTGCGAACATGAACATAATGTCATTCATTCTGTCGCTGATTCATCCTGTCCTGTTGCAGCGCCCTAAGAAGTGTAATCAACGTTTCCCGGGATGAGCAATGACCCAGCTCAGTTTCTCTCCCAGTCTCATTCCGGGACTCTACTGCAGAGTTCGCTCCCCGACCTTCCACTCTGCCCCGCGTGTCGCTGCTGTCCGCCGCAAATAACTCGCCTCTGGGATTGGGCCACGCAGGACAGCAGAGTGGAGGCTATTTCCCTCACAGGGGCCCTCTTTTAACACGAGCTTTAGGTGCGCCCTACATCTTCACTAAACCATAACTCCTAAGTAATATTGGTTCTTTCGGTAATGTCACGTAGATAATAAATAAATAAGCCGTTTTTATTTTGTATTTTATATCTACGTGACTTTACAGAAAGAACCAAGAATATGAATTCCTGCAGTCAAGAAAGTTTTAAGTCAAAACATAACTCCTAAGCTCAGACAATCCAGTACATGGCTACATGTTGCCATCGCGTGGCTATATTCAGTACTACAGCTTCTACAACTGCATGCCTCTTTAACTGCATGTGCCATACGTCGATAGTGATTGACACTGAGCAGATTAAAGGTATTGCGATTTCTTGTACCCTATGACTAACCCGACATGTACTCGATATCCATTGTGACAGGATTTCTCCAAAACTCTGGCTGTCGCCTGATGATGCTAGTTGTAATTACTGGCGAAACGTCGTACTCGAATTGTAAATGTTGTGGTTTTATTCTCCAAGACACTGGTTAGTGCTGTACCAGTAACGAATTGGCACGTTTCGTTAACGTGACGAACCTCACTAATTGGCTGTTGGGTGCTGGCGGGTTGAACGACACATTCACATGAACGTAATCCAACCCAAACACCTCTGATGGACATTCAGGTTATAAAATACACGACCCAACCATAACCAAGCAGCTTCTGTCTGATGGGATAGAAAGAGGGGCTAGAGGGGCGCGGCACGGGCTAGAGGAGGACGTGGAGCGGAGTCGACTTGCCGATCTTCTTTCGTGCGGCTGCTGGTGTAGATGTCGAGCAACGACTTCACATGCAGGTGGGCAAGCCAGATAACCGTGTCCGGAGTAGGGGAGTGTGTCATCGCTGTGATGTCTCCTTCGTATTTGTGAATCGGCATCGTGTCATTGTACGTTGTACGGTCTGTTCTGGAGGACCAGTCACATTATTACTGGAGAGTTTTTAAGTTTACGGTGGACATAGCCTCCACGTCAGTGCAGTCCTTTCCGTGCCTGTGGTGAGTTCATTTATAGCGGGCGTCCAAGTTGGTTAGTTCATTCAGCAGGCAGAGAGACACAGAGACAGGGTGAGTAGATAAGTGGGTAAGTGAATAGGTATGTTAGTGGGTGAATCTTTTAAAGCCACTTTAAGGATGGTGTTTCCTCAGACCCCCCCTAGATGCACCAAGGACCCACACTGGACCCCCAGGACCCACCCCGGATCCATCACGGACCCACAGCAGTTGTCATGCCACTCACTCCTGTGTACATATGGCAACATTGATCACAACCACAGGTATCTGTGGCTATCTTCTTGGTTCTTTCGGTAAAGTCACGTAGAAGGGAAATAATAAAATAATACAAATAAAACATAACAAAATTAATATATTATTTTATTGTTTTATTTTTATTATTTTATTATTTCCCTTCTACGTCACTTTACCGAAATAACCAAGAAGATGAATCCCTGCAGTCACGAAAGCTTTCAATCGAAATTTATCTGTGGCTGGCCTGTGAGTAGAGGCGACTGACGGAGACAACAGCCCTACGGGAGTGTGTGTGCTTGCAGGGCCTTGCTGTGGGCTGGCACTGCCACACGCACACGTGGTGGCTGCCCGGACCTCTTGTGCCTCTTCATAGTCTGCCTTCACGAAACGGAATCTGGTCCCGAGAGCGCCTCGGTTCACCAACGTGAAGGTCCTCCTTATTATGGTCTCTCCGACCACGTGGGTGTCAAAGTCAATCTTGGACCTGTCCACCGTCACCTGCACAATACACGCACGCAGTGCCATCGCCGGTATCAGTGCCTGCTGGCAGCGGACACCACGTCTATCACCGTCATCCCTTCAGCCCGTGCTGGCTCATAGATCCCCATCAGCCACGGTCTTCCCTTAGCAGAGCCTTGCGCTGTACTCACGTCACATTTCTTCGTTGTGCACTGCACTGGCACTGTGAAGGGTCCGCTCTGAGCTGCAAACTGCAGCTCTCCATTCAGGTCCTCGTTTTTCTGTTCGAGAGAGGCAATCGTTTGTAACATTTCATGGACCAGTTTGGCGTAGGCTGAAAATACTTTCCCACCATCGTCATTAACAAACACTGCCTCATAGATGGAAAATAAAGTCAGGCAGTGTTTGTTATTGACCATGGTGGTGAAGTATTTCAGTGTGTGCTCCATCATTTGTGACTTTATAATGGTCCAATATAAATGCACCAACATTATATTATGAAAAGAACAGCCCAACTGATGTCTTTGTTGAAAACAGCACTAATTATGGAATAGGAGCCTTTGTTCATTAAATCTTTTAATCAGTGACAAGTAATGAACGCACTGCATAGGATTCACCGTGATTCTAATTACTATAAATTACAAATGTGTGTAATCTGAATAGAGTAACATGACTCACTGAAAATAACAACAGGGTCTTGGCCATGACTAACAATAATTAAAAGTCTAAACATTTCAGCCAGCTGGCTTCCTTTCTTGAAGAACTTTCAACTGACTGGTCTTGTTTTTGGAAGAATGCCAATTGGCCAAAACATCTATTTTTCCTCCCAGCGAACGGTAAATATGGGCTTGTTCTGCCAGCTGAATGAGCATGCAAACAAAGCCCCCCTTGGTGCCTGGTCCCTGTGGTCGGAGTCGTTCTCCCCAGGTGAAGGGACGCTCCACCAACAACCCGTGAGAGCGAGGATGACTCACGGAGCGATGGACACGCCGAGAGCCGACTGCTCCTGCACTCCGTCAGAAGCCCTCCCCGTGTGGCTGCTGGCACTCACTGTCCCCTCGAAGGTCACCATCAGCTCAAAGGACATTCCTGCAGATATCTGTCCCGGAGGCTTGAACCTGGCGGGGCACACGTTACACGTATTGCACGGCATCCAGTCCGGTTTGAAATATTCAGCAGGGTTGTGTATTATTCTTGAAATTAGCATCTCATTCCACCTGAAGACGGAAGCTTGTGTTGCCTCCAAAACGTCGTGATTTTTATTTTATTTTACTTTTATTAATTGTATTTAAATTTTTTTACCTACGTGACTTTACCGGAAAAACCTAAGAATATGAATCCTTGCAGTCACGAAAGCTTCAAATCTAGAATTAGCATGTCATTGTTTTCTTGCTTGATCAGATTTACTTACATAACACTGCCTGCTAGCATCGGATTTGCGATTTAGACTTAAACGGCAGCTCTCCTTTGCACCCAAGCTTCCCTTGCACAGTAAACGTGCAGTCTCGATGAGCCACCTATCTCGTGTCGTCCTCATAATGGAGGGTCGATGCGCAAGGCAGCTGCTCTCCACGTGTTACATCTTCACTGTCTCTCGCGGACAGTTCCATCCTATTGGTCACATTCTCCCACCGACTCTTCCCTTCCTTTTCCCCTCTTTTTTCCCCTTTCATTTTGCTTTGTAGAATCATCTTGGTCACATCTCCCTTCAACATCGTATCATCAGAATTCCCAGTAATGATTAAACACTGATGAGCTCCCACCCGGTTGTAATTAAAAGTAACTGCCAGGAATGGAGAGGACGGCCAGGCTGTGACGGCTGCATTCACACTGAGAGCGTGAACACAGGCACAGCGCTCTCTCGACCTCTCCGCACTGGAAGGTGCCTCTGGCTTTACGAACCGCACACTGACGTAGTCCTCCAGATGTTCGCTCATGCCCTTGTAGCGGCAGAAGTTGCTGGTGTAGGACACATTGGTGAGAACCGCTTTCAACTTGTATATTTTACCAACATCAAAGTTCTGGGAAGACAGCAACATAAGAATAGTGTTTAATACAGAAAATAGTCACGTGCTAATATTATCTATCTGTTATGCTTGACCAGAGTCATACCTCTAAATGATTACATCGCTTGTTTACCCAGGAAAGCTTAACCGAGTCCCAAGACTCTTTTTCAGGAGGGTCCTGCTAAGTTATCGCAGGAGGGGGCAATGCTGCTACGTGTAATCCAAATTTAATCATTTGCAGGTAATGTCTTAGCATCGGGATGTTGCTGCTCAAAAGCACACGTAACATAGGGTTATATACTTCTGCAGTAAATAAGTACATCGGACTTAAAGCTTTTGTGACTGCAAGAATTCAAACATTATTATTATATCTATCTATGTGGCTTTACCGAAAAACCCAAAGAATAAGTACATCCGACTTACATGAAGAACAGGTAGAAAAATACTGCTGCCATTAATAGTAAATACTGTATTTTTAAATAACAAATAATGAGCCAACATTTGAGCAATCGCCCTTCATAACAGAAATAAGTAAGAAGGCAAATAACTGTGGCTTGTGTTTAAGAAACAAGGCATTGCACAGTTTCAAAGCAGGCAAACAAGGCTACAAACAGGCCGCGATATGTATAGTTTAAAGCACTCACCTAAGCGTGTGTGGAAAATAAAATACGTATCACGGGCTGGGTAAGCAAGCATCAATCACCCTTCACTGCGCACCGCGAGTGCCAACAGCAGAGCCGAGCCACCGTTGTGGCTTGATTAGGACCTGGCAAATGCTGTGTGTGGCAAGGCCAGCAGGTGTCCTGCACAGTGTCACTGGGATGTCCACCTTGAAGGCTATGACGTTGGGCTTGCTGGAAAAGGAGCGGCCCTGAACCGTCAGCCCCAGTCTGCGTTGGCCCTTTGGCTTTTCCTTCAGCACGGGGCCTCCTCCCTCTGCTTCACTGGGTCCGAACGGACGGGTTTTCATGTCCTGACCAGTGGCCTGCTCACAAGCGAGAGTAAATGTTGCAATAAATTATTAAAAGAGGTCTAAATAAATTAGCATTACAATAAAGGTAGAAATTACACGAGCTTTTGCAAGTTGTGCACGAAAAGAAAAAGCCTATGACATTATCCCGCTATATCACTTAATTTCCACTTTAAATATTTTAATGCTCAAAATGTTACGAATGAAGGTTGACCGATGGTGCGTGTGCTCTGTTAGTCTTTTCCAACCTGTCACGGACTTCTCGCTGTGGTACTTCGGGATGCCAAAGCCGACTGTTACTCACGCGTGCGTTCGTCACCAACGAGACTCACGGAATCCCGCGTTGTGCTCTGCGTCTTCCTGTTGGAGCCCACCGAGACAGACAAAACCTCTTCCTAGGGAGAGCGACACCTTGACACCTGATGTGTTGCATGGCAACGTAGACCATCGCGCTTGTAAACAAGAGCGAGGATCTACCAACGGCGATGCTCGTCAGACGACGCCGAGCGCTCTGGCGAGGTGGGCCACGCGGCGCCTGGGGGACGCCGCGTGGCTCCCAAGGCCCTCCTCCTCCTCCTCACGTGCTGGTGGCGTCCGCGCTTGCCGCATTTGTTGCTGCGTTATCTGCTGCTCCCTGCGGAGCTCCTGCTCCCTCAGCCGGCTCCCTCGCAGCTCCTCTCTGGCAACACAGCAGCAGCAGCAGCGGTAAGCTGGGACATCCTCACTCACACGCCACGGTTCCACTACGACCACAGCAGCTACAGCGCCTAAATCCTCCAGGTCATCGTTAAAGCACGACTCTACACGCAGTCGCTTGGCAATATTGACTAAGTGATCTTACTATGCGACTCCATGGAGTGAAACTAATACAGCTACAACTGCCGCGTCTCGCTGCAGCAGCAGCTGCTGTGTAAGGCTGCAGCTCCTGATTTGGAGCTTTCGTGACTGCATGAATTACTTTTTGGTTCTTTCGGTAAAGTAACGTAGAAAGAAAATAAATTAAATTATAGAATACGACGTTTCGATTGCAACACAAGCAATCATCATCAGGAAAGCTCCAAATCAAGTTTAAACCACCTCTACGGGGAGGATTTAAGCGATTTCTCTCTCTCTGTGTCTCTGTATTGTCTCTCTCTGCTTGTGTCTGTGTGTCTCCGTGTCTGTGTCTTGTCTCTTTCTCAAATTTCACACTTAACTTCTAATTTAGCAATCTTTGGAAGAACGTAATCAACCAGGCTATGCATTAATTGTGTGTTGATCGACTCTCTGTGTTGCATTGCATTACTTTCCCAAATTGCATCAAGTTTGTTTTATTAAGTTTATTTTCTCTCTCTCTCTGTGTCTCTGTGTTGTCTCTCTGGTATTTCCCGCAGTCAGGAAAGCTCCAAATCTCTCATTGACATGCTGATTTCTCTACCCCCCCTCTCTCTCTCTGCCGCCCTCTCTCTCTCTATTTAAGGCCTCGACACAGAGGCGTTGTTTATCTGTGTCTATGTTGTGTGTCCCTCTCTGTGTCTCTGCGTTGTCTCTCTGCTTATGTGTCTGTCTGTGTGTCTCCATGTCTGTGTTTTGTCTCTCTCAAATTTAGCAATCTTTGGAAGAACGTAATCAACCAGGTAAGGTGCTGACTGTTATGTTAGCCGACTCTCTGTGTTGTATTGCATTACATTTCTAAGTTTACTAGGTTTTTTTCCTCATTCATTCGTACCTGATGATGATTGCTTGTGTTGTAAAATCGAAACGTCGTATTCTATTATTTAATTTATTTTCTTTCTACGTTACTTTACCGAAAGAACCAAAGAGTTATTGCTGCAGCTCCTCTCCATAACAATGGAGTCCTGGTAGTGCCGGCAGCTCCTCGCGAACGCTCCACCAGTCAAACTACGACAGCGCCCCTCACCTTAACAGCAATACAATCCTGCAGCTGCCAGTAAAACCAAGTTCAGTGTGTGGTGGTTCTGCATGGCACCGTGATCTGCATGATGGTCGAAGAGTCTTGCAAAGTATCGAGACACATTTGGAGTTAGAGGTGACTACACAGACAATGATGTGTGTGTGATCTACTGGTAGAACAACATGACATGCTCGCTTGTATACAATGTAAGAACAACACGTAGGTAATGGATAATAAATAATCAGACAGCAGTCTGCTTCTCCATATAAAAAATATATATAGCATGTCGATCAGTCACCCAATGGGTCTTCTGGATAAATTTGCTGCAATGAAACAGCCACAGTGTTGGTCGAAGATCTTGCCTGTGTAATGTGAGGTTATATCCGGGTCGTTGACGGATTACAACTCGTCACGATGATTGGCTCTGCCGGTCCTGGTCCATAGCCAATGGGGGGAAGCCTAGGGGCGTGGCCCTGACGTAATGGAAAGGTGACAGCTGTAAGGATTGGTTCTGCTGGCTTTGGCCACAGCCAATGGGGAGATGAGTCAGGGGCGTGGTCCCGGGAGCCTACGAGGGAGCCTGGAAGATTCCATAGAGGCTAACCAGGATTGGTGGAAACGTACCACGTGACCCGGGTATTAAATAGGGGTGGAGATGAACGACACGTGGTCAGAACGGGAACGGAGGAAGGGGCCACACATGAGCAGGGCTCTGGGTTGCCACGTGGCAGTGCGTCTCTCTATCTATCCCTCTCACGCTGCTGACAGGAAAGCTGTAATGCAAGTTGAATAAAAGACCGGATTCCAGAAGTCGCCTCAACGACCTTTATTGCACCTGTAACATTAGGTAGCAGAGCAGCATTTGTTTAGCAGGCCACTCTCTGCTGATGCAACTTGCAGTTAAAACTGGAAATATGAAAATCAAGAAGATGGAAACCTAATGCTTGTGCATAGCCAGTTCGTACGAAGCGTATGTGTAGTAGGATACGTTATCAGCACACACATCTTAACGCGCGAGCAAAAGATGCAAACGGTCTTCCCACACAGCATTGCGTAACAATGGCTTATTCGAGTGGAGGGTTCATTTGTAGAGTTCAGTGACGGATTGACTTGCCTGGAGTCTAATTCCTGGCTGAGAGCCCAAGTATCTCCTTCCATCTCAGCAGCGCTGTGCTCGGTTTCCCAGGCTGAGAGCCACACACACAACAGCGCCCATTCATTGCCTGAGCAACACCAGCAATGGGAGCTTCATCATCGTCACCTCTTGGCAGATATATTTTAGACTTTTACCTGTGTAGTGTGCGAATTCACACACTAGGAGGCACTCTCTCTTTTATTCCGGCATTCACAGCCTTAGGGCATAACCACACACCGGGTCGGGACAGCCAACACGCTGCCAGACCCACAGCTTGCAGAGGGCGAAGATCACAACGACGACAGCACGAGGAGTTCCACTCCAGCTCGCTGTGCCCCGACCGTGAGTCGGAGGTCGCCTTACATCCTGCCCAGCGCGGCCAGGCTCCCCTCTGGATCCCCCAGGCGGCTCCGTGCCTTGCCCACCGGTGCAGCTGTTAGAACGGGCTGCCACCACTACTATTGCCTACCAGTCTCCCAGCGGCACGCGATACAGTGACTCATCAATGTCACGACACCTGTATCCTGGAGATTGAAAACTATATATTTGGTGAAGAGAAAAATAGCGCAGAACTAAACACCATACATTTCATACACATGCTTTATAGGATTCTAAACGTTATTTCATGCAGAAGATTAGTTATCTGTTTGCATAGGTTCACTGTATAGTATAGGTGTTATACTTTAAACACAGTGGAGTGTTCACTATGCTCAGTCCATTATACAAGATTGAGCTTAAAGTCGAGACATGTCCAATTGGGATCACTGAATGGTGTCCAGGTCGACTGTTGATCATCAGCCAAGGGTGGACACCACATTCATATGTCAGTTCAGTTGATGACGTGTTTGCTGTTATATCAGAACATCAGGAAGGTTACAAACGAGAAAGGGGCATTTTCAGAGTAAATAAGGCACTCCGGTCACTCGCTCAGCAAGGGTCTATCCCCTCCTCCTCATCTCTCTTCTATTGCTGACTTCACTCTCTGTCTGTCTTTGTGTCTATATCCGTGTTACCGCTGCCTTGTGGGTAAGTCTGGGAAGACAAAGGCTAGGGGAGTACACCCTGAGATTAAAGCAACGTGCTGGTGGCGCGCGAAACATCGGTCCTCCGATAGACTGGAGCTCCGGCAGCCTCCTACAACTGTGGAAGGGTGCCAGTCGTCTTGGGATTTCCCTTTGCCACTGGATTCCACCATCTCGCAATGAAGAAGTGCTGTTGGGACTTGCGCACCCCCAAAGGCACTCTACGTTTACTCTTTGCACAGGTTTCCACTTCTGCCTCTGTAAATCCAGCATCTGGAAAAAATGTACAAAAGTCTAGCGGCGTTGGGTGGTGTGGCGATGGGAGCAGGTACGAACATACCGGGAGCTCCTCGTCAGACCCCTGCATGCCAGCGGCACAGGGTATTTGGTTGCTAGCAGCTGGGACTGAGTGGCAGCTGCTCTCGGCAGACCCCTGTGAGATCCGCACTGCCCACCTCAAATGGGGAGGGGCCTAGGAAAGGTGGCCTAAACATTGCCAACTCAAACTTACCTGGATAGGTAACCGCACCTATCGGGTTGTTCCAGTCTGCCGTGCAAGAAACCATGAGAAAATAATCTCCCTCTAACTGGCAACGTGGAATGTAAGAACCCTATAGGACGCTGACTGGGACCCCATCGAAGAACTGCCCAAGTTGCAGCAGAACTTAAGCAATATAACATTGGCATTGCTGTACTTAGTGAAACCAGACTCCTGGACGAAGGCTCTCTGAAGGAGGAAGACCAGGGTTATACCTTCTTCTGGAAGGAATACCCCCAAGGAGGACAACATCTACATGGTGTGCGATTTGCAATTAAAAACAGCCTCCAACCCAATCCCACAGAGACACTGACTGGCATAAGTGAGAGACTCATTACGATACGCATCTCGCTGGCAAAGAAGCGCTATGCCACACTTATCAGTGCCTATGCACCGACTTTACCATCAGAGAGCGAGGTTGAGGATTGCTTCTATAAAGCACTAGATGAGGCCCTCCGTCGCATCCCCAGCAATGATAAGATAGTTTTGCTGGGTGACTTCAATGCTAGAGTGGGAAAGGACAACCAATTGTGGAGTGGAGTTATTGGTAGGCATGGCGTTGGGCAAGCTAACGCAAATGGCGTGAAGTTATTGACCCTTTGCGCTGAACATGACTTGACCATCACGAACACCCTCTTTCAACTACAAGACAAATGTAAGACATCCTGGATGCACCCACGTTCCAAACATGGGCACTTAATAGATTACATCATTGTGTGACGTTCCAATATCTAAGACATCTTACTCACCCGTGCAATGAGAGGTGCTGAGTGCTGGACAGAACAGAGACTTATCACGACCAAATTACAGGTGAGAGTACGCCCTCCTATCCGCCTCTAGAAGTCAGGAAAAAACTACTTGACTGTGCCCGGCTCGGAAATACGGTGGTACGGAACGACCTTTGATGCTCTCTGGCTGAGAAATTGGAAGACGTTGAGCCTCTCCTAAGCGCAGAGGATCTTATTGATGGAAAATTATCCTCTATCAGCTAAAGGCTCTATGAGGCAACAGCCGACTCCATCGGCCACAAGGACAGAAGACACCAGGATTGGTTCGATGAAAACTCTGCACCAATAAGTACCTTACTCAAAGATATGCACAAAGCTCACAGTGCTACAATCAACAATCCCACATCAGACACATTTTGGCAGCGATGGCGAGCATTAAGGAGGGATGTTTAGCCTACATTGCGAGGCCAGGAGTCCGAGCCCTTCAGGGTGCGCACCGGCGTATGCCAGGGATGCATCCTGGCTCCGGTAAACTTAAACATCTTCCTGCTTTGTGTCACCACGCTACTGCACACAATGAGATTGAGGACAGTGGTGTTACAGTGGAATTCAGGCGGGATGGCAACTTTGAGCAGCCACGAATAACATCCAAGCCTGTCTTCTCGAGCTGCACTATGCTGATGACTGCACGCTCCTGGCGCACACACCAGAGGCAGAGTGCAGAGGGTATTTGGTTTATTCCTCCACGCTGGCAAGATGTCTTTAAAGAGGTGGAAATACAGTACAAGTTCCCCGATATCAGTTGCTTGTGAGTGATGCCATTGCTCTGGTAGGGAGTGATGCGGTCAATGATTTCGTGAGTTCGGAAGTGGAGGGCAAATACTCCTTGGTGGGTCTCTAATAGAGCTCCGTCTCGTGGATGCCCCGACTGCCATTGGCATTTTCAACGAATATTTATTTGTAACCTAGAAGTGTTTTGATATTCTTATTAAGGAAGTGTTAAACTCACATCGCTTTGGGACAGTGTCGGTACATTTCTACACATCTTTTTGTCATGTCTTCTTTAGCTGTTTATGCAATGGCACCTCAGTGTATTATTTACACTCCAGCACCATAATCGATGTTCCCTGTCCCACTGGCTTGTACTCACACATGCCCATCGTGGCACATGTTCAGTATTTTCCTTCCGACACAACCTTTGATTTTTAAATAAATGCCTCCAACTCTTGTGCCACTTGTGGGGTTCTTATATTATTGGTTGACTGGCATTCTTGCACATTATATATTTTATGACATTTTAAGTACATGTTGTTGTTTTTAAAAGTGTTCTGAATGGGGTCGTATAAATGCTTTTGTAGCAATTAGGCCTGTGTGTGTTTCCCCCAGGCGTGCTATTAAGAGGCCCCGCTTGTGGAGCTGCATTGTGCGCAAAAAAACACGTGAACGTGGCCGCACCGACTCTCTACAGAAGCCGGTCGTGCGCCGTGCGAGGAGTTCTCGTTTCGCGCGCGCACTGCGTTTCCAGACACAGCGTGCGATTGTTGCTGCTGCAGCGCGCCGGTCTGCGCCGCCGGAGCGGAGCTTGCAGTCGTGCTTGCCGTCCACTATTCGATTAAGAGGGCTTCTTTTTCCACGTAACTTCTTGCCAATTTCCTTCCCCTTGGAACAATCGGAGCAGAGTGATTTCTGAAAAGACCATTATGCAAGGCGCATGTGTGAAGCAAAGCAATGAGCAGTGCACTCTCTCGAATGGGCCCTATGTGGCGCGGCCATGCCATCCGTGCGCACGGCCAGCTGACTGACCGATCTCCAGTGTCATGCTGCAAGTGCCGCCACGCGTCTCCTAGCTGGAAAGGCTCGGCAAAGCGAAAAACGAAGCCCATCACTCCCGATGTCACCACAACCTACAAACCGGCTCACAGTCTCCTTCGCTTCTCTTGCCACTGCCACTTCCCCCCCTACAAAGAAAGGAATGTATGCTGGGTTGTGGTAGTTCGAGCAGCACATGATGGGATAATCGCCAGGGGTAATACAAATTAATTGAGAGTCTGTCAGGGAAAACATAAACTGGGTCTGCGATGCAGCATGGGACTGTGCCATGGTGGTATGGACATCCCATGAGGATATGCAGCTTTGAAATGTGATTTTGACATGAATGCTAGCATATTTTATTTGGGTCTTTTCCCCCAATTGCCGTCCGCATCACGTCATGAGATGAATCATCTATTCGGAACCCTCACAGAGCAGTGAGCTCTTTTGTGTTCAAGAATGGTCCATGGAAGCAGATATCTCAGACCTACCTCTGAATCTCTTCAAAGTGATCTCTGTTCCAAACAGTCGGGGGCAGCATTTTCCCACTCATCCTTTTTAATTTGGTAACAGGTGTACCTGTCATATAAACACTGGAATCTCAATTTTCTCCGCTGGTTCAGGAGCACGAGTGTAACTGAGTACTGCCCAAGGTAATGAATGTATCGGGGGCACTATGCATATACACAGGGGTACTCTTCAAAGGTGAAACCTTCGTGTTGTCATAAACGAGATCTCCCACCTGTTCCCAATACCTGGTGCACCATCTAGCTCTCAGTATGGAGCAGTTTGGTAAGAACCCGATGTCCACACCACCTGGGAAGGACACCTGCCAAATGTTTTTGGTAAAATGCTTTGGTCTAAACGATTCGAGAGACAATATTTATGTCATGGTTTGTAGTGATTCAAAATATATATATCTATAACCGTCAACCGAAGAAAGCCAAGCGTGTATGTGTGCACGCATACGTTCGCGCAGCAATTATTTAAGTGCAGGGACTCCGTCTTGTTTTGATAATATAATTGGTGGTGTGCGGGAAGCTTTCCAGGGCCTGGCCGACCATGTTGGATGCCAGGCGCCACCACGCCATCGTCTCTCCCCAAGAGCCAGCGTCCCAGCGTGTGGCCTCATTATTTCACGTCTTATTTTAGTGGCAGGCTCAAAGGGGACATGGCAAAGGCACGTTTTTTTCTACTCCAAAATCTTTTATAAAAATTGTGCGTGTACTTTATTTATTTTAAACTCCTGTGTATTATTTACATTCCCTGCACTTGCATATTGTTTCAGCCCCAGGTCTACGTCGAGAGGAAATGGAGCTCAACTAGTCGAAATTAGGTGGTTTATCAAATGTTTGCCACTATAAGACGTTTCATTTGTAATGTATTTTTAAAAAGATCTTTGTTTATGTATGTCAAGGTTGCTGAACACAGGCCCAAAAAAACCGCACAATAAAATGTGTGATCAGAGTTAACGTGTTTCTAGAATTGTACAAGGTTACCATTACGAGAAGAGCTTGCGAAAATCGACGATGAGAAGGAATTACAAAGTGGAGAAGGCCGAGAGAAGCAAGGAGAGAAGTGTTGTCACCCGCAGTGTGGTGGTGAGTGAGTGGGTGAGCGAGTAGGTGACTGCTTGTCTTGTGACTCCAGTATCGTGGTTGAGTGGAAAGGTGTTATTGTCACCTGCAGTATGGTGGTGAGTGCGTCGTTTGCAGTGTTGTGGTTGAGTGCTGTATTCAGTTCTTACCTCGTTAAATAAGTTTGACTTAACTTTTCCGAAGTGGTTTTCATAGCCAATCAATATCTGGCCTGCTAAAAATGCCCCTTGACCTCCTCGCAGTCCTGCAGAGCCGCTATCTGGCAAGCCACCACCTCCAGGAAACCAAATCCTGTTGGGTTGAAGCAGCAGCCTTCCACTCAGGCTGTCCGAAAATAGCATTACCTCTGACACAGTTTTTATTTTAAAATTGCATAAACATTTAAATGTATTTGAATTCGTTTTTCGATCATTTGAGTCATGGGCGGTCGTACCTGATTGCAACAGCAGAACAAGCCGCTAATATTAGCGCGGGTAAAGTGATCCATCCACTTGCTCCCAGATCAAGGCGGAAGAAGCGCTGCTGCTGTTGCGCCGGACCTCGTCGCCACGGCGAGCCACGGCGGCGGCGGGCCCATGACACTGATACGCGCGGCGGTCGCGGTCTGAGATTCCACGGCTGAGACACCGCGGTGGTGGCGGGCAGCAGCAGCAGCAGCGCCACTGGAACTTGGCAGGGGGAGTCGTCTTTTCCGTTCGCGAGTCTCCACGCTGTCAATAACGCAGCGCACCCGAGCCAAGCACCATCACTCAAGGTCTCTTGATTGCGGGGACTCCTGGTAAGGGAACAGCTTGCCTGTCACCTGTCACATGAGCAGCAGTCGCTGCTTTGTTAAGACCAGCCCAAAGTGGTTCTTTGGGCTGCCCAAAGTGGTTCTTTGGGCTGCTCTGGATATTTTCTGGATCGCCACTCGGCCAGCTTGAAGGAGTGATTATTGGTGTAAGGCGCTACCACAAGTGTACAAGGTATGTCTACCCATGACTATAATGATTTAAGTGCTGTGCTTGAGGACAGTTGGCAACTCTAAGCACCATTCGCGCAGTATCAGGACAACATAAGGTGAGATGGATATGGCTAAGTGCTGAAATAATTCCCGGAACGGCGTTCCGCTGTCCGGTTCTGGGACGCATTTCAACGAGGAATACGTTGACTGAAAGCTGTATAAGTGTGTGACTTACAGTCAGAAATAACTGGGAGCCAAGTAGATTGGAATCGGATTGCACCGAGCCCTCAAAATACATAATGGTGGGTGAGCGATGTCGTGCCATATAATGTTGAGGTTCACGGGAATGAGAACGCCACTCGTCCACCAGACGAGGTCGCACGGTGATGTGTGGCTTGGAGTGCATTCATTAATCTGTGCGCAGGTCGAGGGGCTATTGTCGGCGGTTTTACCAAAGCTTTACGTAGAATAACCTTAGTTTATACACAGCTTAGTACTGTATATTTAACATACAGCAGAAATGCAGTGAGGTGTTGACAGTGTGTCCCTGGAGAACGGCGGGCCGCGTGCCCATCACACAGATACTTTACAGCGGTTACATAAAGCTATGACGTAATGCTGCAGAACATTTGCATTGCTAATCGACCGACGTAGCAGCTCATACACGACGGGAACTTCGGTCGCCGAAGCGGCAATGGGCACATCGGTTCGGTCAAGGTCAATAGGTCATGACGGCCACTACCATTGATGTATCTACGCCTCTCAACTTCAAGATCCTGAAGCTGTTACAAAGTTGACAGGCCCACTCTTACCTATAGCCTGACCCACCCTTGTCATCGTTAAATCTCCGACACTTTCGTGGTATGTTCTAAATGAAGAGGCGGGGTGATGTCCTTGTGATTTACAATGGAATACTGTGACATTATATACCGACAAGTCTAAATGCGATCGCATCTCAAGAAGCTCGATAGAAACAGTGGGGATGTTTATTTATAGGTAAATACACCGATAAATAACCTTTCTTTTCCATCGGCAGACGGAAAAGAAAGGTTTTGAGCCAGGACTAGAACTGAGGCGAGGAGGACATGGAAGTTCAGTGAGGTGAGAGGGGGGAGGTAAGAGAGTGTGTGGAGGGGACGTGGCTTTGCACGTAGCCTGTCATCCAGCACTGTGAAGTCAGCAAGGATTGGTGTATCGGACACATTACTCAATATTGCGAGAGTCCATTCCCGTGGGCATCGAGATGCAATACTCTGGATCGCCAGCAGAATGCAGTACAGCAAAGTGCGGATGTCCGTCGCTTCTGTATGAGATAAAGTGTTGCCCACTCGCATGCGTGGGTTTCCTTCGCGTGCTGCGTTTCATTTATGTATAGACACTCACTACCTGGCTGAAAACATCGTAATGTATGGAGAACTGCAGAAAAAATGAGTTGTACCAGATCACCGGTTGGCTACATAAGGGTACAGAAATGCAATTTGCATGAGCGATGCAATAAAAATAATCATAATTTTTTTTAAATATGAGAAGTAGGAGAGTTCACAGAGGGGAGTAGAGTGAGATGAGAGGGGAGATGTAGGGAGGGACGAGTCCATCAGGGATCTTGAAGGTGGTGAGCGTGATTTTTAAATTGGATTGGGTTGGGAGCCAGTGGAGGGATCAAGTTGTTGGGTGATGTGATCTGTAATACAGATCTGTTTATACTTCTTATCCACGACCTGTCGTCAGAGAAACGTGTCTCACCGGTACTCTTTGTTAGTGCTTGGGCAGTGACTGGGTGGGCACTATCGCACCACGGCACCCTGTAAGGGTAATTGGTTAAAAGTCTTGACTCGCCATCTCCATGGATTGTTGTCTGAGTAAATGGTACACAATTTATGTTAGACATTTAATAATTGATGAATGTACATTTGTTCTAGCAGTATTGTTTTGGTTTTTGCAAACCACGTACACACAAATAATACAATTAGGCTAACGGAGCAAAGGAGGCAGCGTAAATGAGTCGGAATGAATGAGATACCATGCACAGGTGATGATCGAACCCAGGCAAAAACAATTGCCAAATACATATAACCACAACTGGCACTCGTGCGAGTTAATTGCCTCCGTCTACACGGTGTTTAGCTACGGCAGCGTTCATATGAGGCTGGCACACCGCATCAGGTATACTTCTATGACTCTGGATACTACGGCTAGTTACACGTCACCTCCTCCAGTCTACGAGCGTTCTGGGATATATCAGGTAAGAAATGAATCCCTGGCTGTAGAGCTCTGAATCTCAACTGATAGTGCTACGACTCAATTATCCTGCCCTGGTGATGCAGCGGCTGCTAGTGCGGCAATTGCTGCGCACAAGCTGTGCGCCCGCCTGTTGACAGCGTCGAGTACCGTGCTGTGGAGAAGGCACTTACTCTTAGTTCTTTCGGTAAAGTCACGTAGGTAAAAAAATGAAATTAAAATTAATAAAAAATAAAATAATGATGTTTATTATTTTTTATAAATTTTATTAATTTTAATTTCATTTTTTTTTACCTACGTGACTTTACCGAAAGAACTAAGAGTATAAATCCTTGCAGTCACGAAAGCTTCAAATCGAGAAGGCACTTGTTTGTTCGTGTCCGCTTGCTGTGGCGAAGGAATTCCGAGCGGCGAAACGTTCAAGAGCTCAGATTGTCCTCGTGCAATGCCACCACTGCCTCCCAGCAACAACTCTTGAGCCCACTTTTAAGACCCACGTCTTTGATGTACACCACGATAACGGTTCCCTTATAATCGCACACAGATGCCGTCGGATTGGACCTTTGATGATGCTGAATGTGTTTACTGGTCTGGTTTATACTCGGAAGGGATGGCTCGTTTTGCCACAGCACTCATGAAAGGAACAGACCGATCGTCCCGATGCTTTCCTGGATAAATAACAGACATCACTATTCTTAATAATACTTTTTTTAACACTTGTATCTGGCCAGCTGGCAATCGGAAGGCTGCGAGTTCAAATCCTCGTCGGGGGGTTGACCCAACTCAGTATATCTCCAGTCGTTAACATGAGTCCTACTCCAATTTACAGCTGATGGCTGTAATTTGGAGATGGCCACCAATGCCTCTTTGAGGAGCAGCAAATCGCCGACTATTTGTAGTGTCATCAGTCATAAAAAGCAGTGACTGTGCACCAAGAGCTAAGGTACAGCGAGATAAATCAGAGGCCCCGAACTCGCCGACTCTCGTGCTGCCCTCAATAGACTGACTGCAGCGTTTGCCATCAGCAATTGAGTGAACTCCGTTTAAACCACTAGAGGTTGTTTTTATTAAATCACGTACATATACATGTTTCCCGCGTGAGGTCTGCCATCTTCAATGTCTACACAAGTAACATGGCACCAACTGGGTCCCACAAATTCGTGTAGGCGGATGACCTTGCAAGCAGCCACTTTCAACGACGTCGAATCTACTCTGAACCAAGACCTAAATACCATGGGGGACGATTTCTGGAAATGAAGCGCTCAAGGCAAATCCCCATTAAACAACAATTCACTGCATTTCATATTGATAATAAGAGCGCCAAGTACGCTCCGAAAGTGGATTTCTGCGGCAACACCGTGCGACACGACCCCACTCCAACCTATCTCAGAGTGAAGCTGGACCATATGCTAACCTTACATGATCACCGAAATATGATAGCCACCAAGAACAAAACAAGGGTCAATCTGGTCCAGAAACTGGCAAGCACAAGCTGGGGAGTATAGGCACCAGTGCTATGGACATCAACGATTGCTCTGTACACCAGTATGGACCAGAAGTAGTCACACTCAACTTGTTGCTATCCAACTAAACACTGCAATGTGGTGTATCATTGGAACCCTCAATTCGACCCGTGCTGTCATAAATCTCTTCCCCACCCATCCGCCACAACCCTGCAATCCTCTGGGAGATCCTTCTCATTCATCAGGACCACAATGACGTCCCTCGTCATAGCTTGAAGTAACATGAGCCCTTTTGGACCCATGTGTTTAACTTTAAAGGATGCAAATTCAACTCCGATGACGGTTTGAGAGCTGAATGTGAATGACCCACCACAGTCTGATCTTACACGAAGATCATGGTCCACCCTAAACCGCATTCTGCACAAACCATGGTAGTAGATGCAGATACCTGATGCACAAATGGAAAATAAAAAAAACTCTCCATTAGTAGTGTGCGACTGTGGTCATCCAGAACAGACCATACAACGTGTCACGACGCAAAGCCCGATCCATAAATATGAAGGAGACATCACAGCGACACACTCCGCTACTCCTAACGCGGTTATCTGGCTTGACCACCTGAATGTGAAATTGGAGTTCTTGCTCTGCATCTACATCAGCAACATTGCTGCTATGAAATATCAACAACCCTATCCCTACCTTCACTCCATCAGTCTCAATTCTCCCGAACACCTTTTGGCATTCCCACTGCTACTTCCCCTCCTGAACCCGAACTCCGACGTTGATTGACAACGGTAGTGTTTTTCAAAGCAAAGCGGCGTGTCTTTGCTGTGGCGCCTCGCTGCCTCGTACCCCCATGCGCACAGCTACCGCACACCACCTCTTCCCACCTGCGTGTACCTCGATCCGCTGCGCCTTCTCCCGCCAGATAGCTGTCGGCACAAGCCTGCCTGCCTACCTGCGATGCAGTTGCGCTGCTCTGAGGATCCTCCAGAATATGCTGGGTCAGGAGCCAGGAGGAAGTGGGGTGGAGGACCGGGTTTGCCTTTCTCCATCGGTGTTCAGTTGAAGCTCGGTAATGTTCACAACCGCCTCCCCACTTGCGCCACCCCCGGTTTATATATAAACGTGTCCTGAAGACGCGTGACTTTGAGTGTCAGTGGACCCCAGGAGCTGCCAGCCGACGATGACGGCGGCAGGACTGTCGACGCGCGATGTCCCAGCAACTTTGGCTGTGACTCGTGATCCCCCGACCTGCCGGTCTTTAAGGACTTCGCCATCTTTGTGATACCTGGTAAACGAAAGCAAATATTTTACCATTTAAACAAGACTATTGGTTGTGCATTGCTATGTTTGTTTTAATGTTCCGATGGTCTGGGGTCCACGCCTCTGACGCTGTTTCCCTTAACGGGGTCATCGGTCTCGTTCAGGATGCGCAGGGTCAGAGCGGCGCAGGCTGAGAGATGCTCAGAGGGGGCTCAGAGGGGCACAGAGAGACTCGAAGGGGCGCGTGGTTGAGCGCGGAGCCCCACGCGCTTCCTTGCAGCGCACGGGCGCAGCGTGGGGCACGCGGGCGCTCCCGCATTGTGCCAGGGCACCGAGCCAGCGTGCCATAACTTGCAAACGGCTCAGCGAATTGCAAATTTAAAACACATCATAACCATAATAAGGAATAGAGCTGTTTATATTTCGGGAACGATTGAAAGTAAAAAAAGGCGGTTGTATTTATTGTGTGTGGGTGCTTTGTGAGCGCGGGGCGTGACGGCCGCGCAGGTGCAGGGCCCCGCTCCCCGAAGCCGAGGCTGTCTCGCTTCCAGAGCTCAAATTTTACACCGACAAGTATCACCTTTTGGAATTTTATTTTTATTTTTCCACAATTGTTTCCGTTTCTCCTCTCGGTGTCATGCCATCAGATGAATAATTCATTCGGAAGTCTTAGAACAGTTCTGCCGGCCTCGTATGAGAGAATGGCACACGTGGAATGGGTGACACTGTAACAGGAACAATTTTGCGATTTCTTCAAGTCACCTCTGACCCACATAGTAGGAGTCAACCCTTTTCAACCACCCTGTTGCGGTGTAACGTGCGTCGCATGGCAGTCAACCCAAGTAAAGTGCAGGATGACATTTGATGTCATGGTTTTATTATACAGCCACTAGTGAGATCATCAACTCGCTACACTTAACCGGTTCACTCAGGCAACTGAATCCTGGATTCGAACCCAGCGCCTCCATGGTGCCAGCTCCAATCTTCAAACGATTTGGCCTGCTACGTTTAAACACACGCCAACTTGTTAGCGTTTCCACAAGCAACCGCAAAGTCACAGTTGTGCAACAAACTATGGCCTAATAATGAGTGAGATGAGCACAACCCCAGTGGCTATACTATTGTGATGAGCGACTTCCGCGACACGACGTGTAGAGGGTACTTCTTCTTTTATTCTTACACGGGCACAACACAGGCCAACCTTATCCTTTCACTCTGAGCACAACACTTAGATATTAACGTCTCTACTGGCTACACACACGGCCGATCACTTGGCGCGGTTCCACCGTCCGCTGGCTGGCGGCGTGACGTGGCCGGACGACGGAGAGAGATGACGGCGAGCAGCAACGCAGTCCGAACCCAAGACTCCACACACGAACCCCGAGCCCCGGTCCGCCCGCGCTTATATCTCCCCAGACGCGGCTAGGCTCCGCCTCTGGCCACGCCCTCTCGTGGAACCTTCGAGCAGGTTCCCGGAGCATCTCGGCCAACCCCGCCTATTACCTTTGCCCCAGATACCTCTCCCTTTCAGACTGGATGTTGTCTTAGCAGTGCCCGTACCCGTGCTTCCATTTTCCAGCCAGCAGGTGTCATCATGTCATTACACTATCATGGTTGTTTATTAATGGAATAAACAGAGTGGGTTTGTTGTACACCTGGTCTTGAGCGAATCAGACCACTTAATTTGCATTGATATAAACAAAGCCTGAGTCTGCTGATGAAACATTTAATGGTAAAAGTGGTCCAGAGTATGGTTGTCTTGAATTAATCCTGCTGAAATTATGCATTCCTAGAAGGGCATGTTACTAATGGGATGTGCAAAAACTAATTTTATATTTTGTATGTGGAGGGACGGACATGAGAAGTGAGGTGTGTTTGCGTGTTTATTTTGTTACTATTCACAGCGAGGTGAATGATTGATAAATATTTAGGTCAAAGCAGGTTGAACGAAACGTCGTCGTACATTGATGTTGAATGCGGTCATGAAAAGTCTCAAGCCACTGGTGAGAAGGAGCGGTAGTGTAGCGGTCAGCGCGCTGCACTACAAAACCGGCCACCCGGTTTTGATCTCCGCTCACGGCCAACACCAGTGACGATTATCTGAACGGGTCCTCAAATGAGTATCTGGTGCGATGTGTAAACATCGGGGCATGGTGCTGGTCACCCACCACCCTCTTGTGCCGTTCCCGCCTTCATAGGTGCTCGCTTACAGCACTTGCCCCTACACTGTTAAGCCTATACAGAGGATCTTTGTCTTGTCTATAATACGGTGAGTGTGTGTGTGTGTTGTTGTGATCTAGTGTTGTGAGTGGGTGAGTTTGTTGTGACCTATAGGATGGTGAGTGGGTGAGTGTGTTGTTGTAACCTGCGGTCTTGTGGTCTAACACAGGGTGGGTGATGAATGTGGTGAGACATTTGTTAATGCCCGAGCCCGATTGCCAGTGTAGTCCATTAATATATGTTTTTTTTATCTTACGATTGATACACTCAGTGTAATGCACTGCAGGTGATGCATTTAGAAGTGAATTGAGACTGTCGAATGTGAAAAGTAAATCTTGAACTGTATAACATTAATACATTTAATATATCTATTGATTTTGCATCTCAGAGTAGTACTCATTGATTATGCACATTAATAACTGCTGAAACGAGGAAAGTCTTGTGGGAAATGTTTGGCTGATTTGTTTTTGAATATTTTTTGCCATGGGAGGAAACCGGAGGCCTAGGGGGAAAAAACCCCATGTACGAGACGATAAACCCTTACTCTGGGTAGGTGTCAGCAGCCTACATGCCGTACTGCTTTGGACATGTCATTGCCATGCAGACAAGTCATTCCTATGATACCGACCACTACGACACGTGGTGCAAACCTCCAACATGTGTTCAAGTGCAGGGCACCGTATGCACAGCTGATGTTCGTCAGTTCAAAAGGTCACGTTCATAAAACACTCAGGGCCCATGCTTCCTGTGCACACAAACTATTTTTAGTCGTTTTTTTAGGATCTTGATAACATTGTCCCAGATACAATCAGAACTTGCAGAACTTTGGCAGGATCTCCTGGTTTTATAAGAGAACATCAGAAGTGACCATTTGTACTGCGAAGACGTGGCACGGGAAAGAGCAAGGAGCTTGGTGGCCTTGTTTCACCAGACTCTGCACTCGCCTCTTTCTACAAATAAAAACAACGACGAAAATGTTGCCAATAACCTAGAAAAGCCTTGGATATTTTGTATCTTTAAACCATTTCAATTAATGAGTGGCGCATGGAAGGACACCAGAGAACCAGCTAGAAAACACAACACGTGTAAGAGGGGATAACACTCAACACTGCCATCTTTTTGCGACCTCACAGCAGCAATTCTACAGCACCTGGCAAGCCCTGGTGGTCACCTCTCCAACTTTTATCCAGGCTCAAACCTGTTTGGCTTCCAACGTCCAATGGAATTGGGCGCATGTTGGGTGATGTGGTAATAGGCTTCGGGCATAGCCTTAAACAGGCCCAATCTCGCCACTGCTCTGCAGTGAGAACATTCACAGGCTTCAGGATGACAAATCAGATGTGTCTGGCAGAGCAAGCATCCAAGGCGCTCATGGCTGGGCCAGGTATACTCAGAGAGAGCAGAGCAGTTGATCCCTTCAGCTACCACCATGGACCCAACTTTCCCTTAAAAAATACGTTTCATCTCAATGCGCTCTCAGCTTGTTTTAAATATAAAGCACTTTTTATGGCAAACACTTAAGAATGGACTCTTCTGAAAAATGGTCCTGAGGCTCATTGATGTTTTCGTATGTAAATATAGGACACTTACTCACATTAAATAAACGTATTGATCGATTGAATTCTGTTAAGGCCTTGACTTACTCATCATCATCTGCCATGATCAATCCTCTGCTGGATGAATACGTCCACAAACCATTGCCACCTCTCGAGGTCCCGTAATCTAGCAATCCACCAAGCATCTGCACACGAGCTAAATCCATTGCTCCTTCTCTCCACTTCATGTTCTCTCAGGCACGTTCCCTCCCTTGTCCGCTGATACTGCATTAGTCTCATCATTCGTACGAGTGACAAGTTCTGTCCTAGGCCAGTCTCCTTAACAGTCTGCTTGCAGCCAGCTATTGTTATCTCTTGTGTAGTGCGCAATGTATTCTGGTTAAGCGTGTGGGCTCTGGGTGTCTATCTGGAATGGTTGCTGGTGCTAGCGGAGTGATGAGCAGATGCTGTTGGGGGTGTCGTGCCACGCTGAAGGGCTCGCGTGTGCCCATGTGCCGCCGTCCTCTTTGTGGCCAGGACGCCGAGGAACGTCGTTCCTGTGTGCTGCTCCCGCCGCGGCCATCGCCACGACTGCTGAGCCGTGTGACGAATGGTGGCAGGAGTGATGGCTGGGCTTGCACGGAGGCAACGTGAGCTCCACGTGTTGCACCTGTAACATGGCCGTCTAAGCAGCAGTCCAGGTGAGACCCTCACCAGTGTCATATTAGTAATAATTTTTATCGCCATCATCAGGGCTTAATATTTTTACTGCATAGTTTCTGGGTCGCTGGTAGACTGGAGGAGGCACGGGACATGTCGTAGCCAGAGCCATAGTGAGAGGTATCCTGGATGCAGACATTTTACCTGGGTGGCTAAGCCATCATGTAATTTGTAAGAGGCTGATACTAGTGACATTGTTTCACCAAACGCAGGTGCTACTGGTATATGTGTGTTTCACCGTGTGTCCTGCATTATATACTGAGCTTTAATCGCGATTTACAATCAAAGCCAAGAGGCCATCGATGTCACCGCTACTCGCCATTTCTTTCTGCCGTCTGCCACATTCCGCAGATCTAAAGCCGAGAGCGGTGCTCCAAGGTTCTTTGTTACATCTCCCACCGTCTGGTTTTTGGCCTCCCCCTTGGCTGCCGACCTCTGGGTGTCACTCTGATGCCCATCTTGGTCACCTGCCCTCCTGAACCCTGCACACATGTCCCACCCATGGCCACCTCATCTGATCACATCGACAAGGCCTTGTTTAACTTTCAAGTTGCTTATCTAGCCCTTCCGTGACATTCCTAGCATTGTCCTCAAGCACCTGCATTGTACAGGCAGAAGTTCATCAAGTAGTTTTATTGTTGAAGTTTGGCTCTGTAACTCACGGAGTAACACAGCCGTTACCCCTGCCTCAACTACTCTTATAACACTAAAGCTGACCTCTCTGTCCTTTGCAGAACCATTTTATTCACAAATCATCTCAACCACAAAGGCCACAGAATTCACAATCCTTATTATCGGCAAATATGTGTCCCTGAGTCTGGCATTAATTCCGCGCTTTGTATTCGAGAAATGCTGCTGTCTTGTAATGGTCAGCACACCAGACTTGCAACACAAAGGTCGTCGGTCCACCCTCCACTCCCCCCCCCGCGCCCTGCCACTGTCTACGCGGCAGTGCAATTGTGTACACCACAGTCGGTCAGCAGGTGATGTGTGGTGGGGTAAAATGTCGATATTCTCACCTCCTCTAAGACATCTGGCCAGCGGGGAAGAGTAGACGAAACATACCTTCTCAGGAGGGCTCTCCTCGAGTGTTCTCCTGCAAGCAGTGGCACGAGCCAGCCACTGCAGGGCTCTATACCTTCATTGAAGCGTCATTTTCCTTTCACGTCGCCCTGGTCACACCGCCCTCGAGTCGCTCCTCCCGAGCCGTCATCGTGTCTCGGCTGAGTGGTGGAGTGGTTGCTCAGCTCCCCCGGTGGCCGTGTTTGTCTGTGGGCAGTAGTGGCAGGATAGGCTGGAGCAGGACACGGCCACCGTCCCATTGCGTGATTGATGCACGGGGTCATATTAATAGACGATTAATTTTTGCCGCATCTTAAGTTTCCGGGCGTTTCCGATGGCGTCCTTGTCGGTGGGGCCTCCGTGGCTACCATCCTGGTGAATCGCCGTGCCGCGTGGCTCGTGGGCCTCGTCCGAGACGTTGGAACGGGTGAGCCGGGACGTGGTCGGGACGCTTCTTCGTGCGTCCGTGGTTTTGTAAACGCGACGCAGTCGCTCCGGCCCAGCGTCGCACGGCGCACATCAGTCACGCCTTGTCATGGATCGCCAGGCACATGCTTTTGTTAAGACAACATTCGTTACAGCTGGATCCGCGGCTGGGAAGGTAACTTTGAGAAGAGAGGTACTGATTACTCCTTATATTTGTATATCGTGTTTTGTATGAATATAATATTGTCGTGTTGATTGTCGCTCATATGACGAATGACATTTTGTACGTTAATTATTCGGTTAAAAATTACATTCGACTGTGACCCATTTCTTCGACCCCTTTTACAAATGGCAGCTGTCCAAACACCCTGAAGTCGCGAGATTCCCTGCCAGCCACGCCATGCGTGACACGGCTGGTGCTGGCAGGAACCTCCTGGTTACACCAGCCCACAGGGGATTATTGTGTCCGTCCGTCGTGCAGGGAGGGGCTGGGAGGGGAGGGAGGGGCTGGGTGGGGAGGGGCTGGGCGGGGAGGGGCTGTGTGGAGGGTGGGAGGGGTGGGGCTGGGTGGGGAGGGGCTGGTCACCCCGTGGTGCCCTTATAAAACTCAACGTTTAACCTACTCACGCCGGCTTGTGCCCGCCCTCACAGTCGGGCATATTTGCGGAATACACCACGCCGCCGTTGATCCTGGCCATTGACCGAGCAACCCAACGTGTTCCGACCAGCTCCCTCCGCAGGAGGAATGTGTTAATGACTTGACCAAGACCTGTCCATCACCTCCCGTCAAGTGGCATGCATGGCAACGAAGCTGTGGCTTTTCCGCAACAATATTCGTGTAATACGATTAGCCAAGCAATGGAATGGACAGTGGGTAGAGTAATCTCTTGCATGATGGGATATCCCAACTCTCTGATGAACTCAAAACATTTGTCAACAACACTATGTCTCTGAAAATATCTATATAATGGGGAACGAGCAATGGCCCATCTTTATCGCACATACATATCCAGAGAGATAATGGGTAATAAGAGGTCGGGACTGTACTTTATACCATGGTGCCTGATTAAATATATGTTTTATTAAATGTATCTTAACTTGGCATACGAATAATGACCTATTATTAGCTATTGGGTAACACATACCCGTCAATAAGCAAGAAGTATGACTACTAAATAAACTAATTTATATTAAAAGCACAACATTTTTTTTTGTAATTGCATATCATATTGCATTGTGGGAATATTTGTTTTGTGTGGGCACAACGCACAATCCACTTGGCAACGCGTTCCTGGGCCCGGTGACGTCATCGTCACCACAGACGTGGGAGGGGGGGGGGCGTCTATCGTGGTCGCGTGCACAGCCGCCCAGGCCGACGTTACACACAGACACACACACACATACACACACACACATACACAAACATATACACACAACACACAGACACACACACACGGACACACACATACACAAACATATACACACAACACACAGACACACACACGGACACACAAACACACGCACACACACAAACACACACAGACACACACAACACACACAAACACACACAGACACACACAGACACAAACACACACAACACACACAGACACACAAACACGCACACACAAACACACAACACACACAAACACACACACACAGACACACAACACACACAAACACACACACACAGACACACACACAGACACACAAAGACACACACAGACACACACAAAGATACACACAGACACACACAGATACACACACACAAACACACACAAGCACGCACACACACACACAAACACATACACACAAACACACACACACAACCCACACACAAACACGCTCACACACACACAACACACACACACACAAACACACACACACAAAGACACACACACACAGACACACACGCAGACACATACACAGACACACACACAGACACACACAAACACACACACAGACACACGCACACAGACATACACAAACACACACACGAACACACAAACACACGCACACACAAACACACACACACGCACACACGAACCCTTCTCAATCCACTGCTAGATGAGGGCCTCGCCACTCCATGCTGGGCATTTTGGTTATTGGACGAGACTTCACCACGCTGGCCATTGCGGTTTGGCGAAGCTAAGGAACCATAAATGTGGCAGCATAGTACAGTTCAACAATGTAATTTGATGGTCTGCCCTGCAACTGCCTGTGACAACCTGACTTGTATGATGGTCGCCCATCTGAACATTATCCTGGCGCAACGTTGCTTAGCTCCACAGATCGTATGGGTTTGGGAGTATTCCGGGTGAATTCGTACGTGCTGTAAGTTACACGAATTAAATTGATTCTTTCACTCACGATTCAGGCGTCGATTCATTAATTTTATAATCCAGATATTCTAATGGAACAAACGAGACTGAACATTCAAGAGAGACATTACAACAATGGCGTACAATACAATGCAATGTGGATTTACATTGTGTCTAAATGCGAATGCATCTCAAGATGCTGTACAGAAACAATGGGCATATTCATCTCATCGAGGCAGTAAGTCACAGGCACAGGGGAAGAGGAAGATCTTTTGCCTGAACTTGAATAGGGGCAGAGAGTCGGCATGGACGGCTGTGGGTAGGGAGTTGCAGACTGGGAGCAGCAGATGAAAAGTACAAAATAAGACAAAGGAATAGGCTATTCTTGAATCAAAAGTGTTGTATTGCTTTCTGCCCTGTCTCCTGTCTGCTCATAGACCCGTGAAGGGTCTGCCGGTGAGCAGAGTGGGTCCGCCGCGTTTGATGCGGATAATTCACGATGGGGTTCGTGGCCGTTTTCTCGCTCGTTCGCTCGCACCACAGATTTTGGCAATTGCCCGCCGTTTGAGAGAACCTCTTGACCTTTTGCTTCAGCGGTATTGTGTTTAAACTTGGATTTAATTCCCCCGGGAAATCTCTTTAGATTGTTAGAGGACAAATAACGGGAAATCTGCGAGCAATGCGGCCTTTTGTTGATTGCTGGAGAAGACTCCACCCGCTTCCTCCTCTCGGCGCTGCGAGGAGACATCATCGCCACGCGCCCCTCGCTCGCTTGGCAGCGGGCCCCCTCCGCCGCTGCCACCGCCGCTGCCACCGCTGCTGCGGTGTGATGGAGACATTTTGTGCTGGGTAGCGGCGGCGTGTGCTCGTGCGTAGGCGGCTTCTGGAGCAGCGTTTCTCGGGTGTGTGTGTCCTTGCATCTGTGTGTCAATGCAGGCATGTGTTGACAGCAGCATGGAAACTGCCTTTACGGGTGATTTAAGACTCCACAGTGCTTTGTTGATCCCCAGATGGATGAAAGCTTCCCCATGCTGTCAGCCATCAGGGTAGTTTGATGATACTTAATTAGAGCAGTCAGTGCGAGTTGGTGATGAGAGGCATCGTGATCCAGTTCAGACATCACTCGCTGCTGATGGTCGCCATGGCCGGGAATCGAACCCAGGTTGCTGGGTCCA